TTGGTTACTTTTCTATTGCTGTGACAAAATACCATGGCCAAGGCAACTTGTAAAAGAAAGCTTTTAACTTGGGGCTCACAGTTCTAGAGGGTCAGAGAGGCCTGCATGGCACAGGCAGGCATGGCACTGGGGCAATAGGTGAGAGTTTACATCTGATCTCCAAAGAGTCAGAAAGAGAGAATGCTAACTGGGAATGATGTGGGCTTTTGTAATGCCCAAGCCCACCCAAAGTAACACACCTCCTCTGACAAGGCCACACCTCCTAATCCTTCCCAAACAGTTCTACCACCTGAGGACCAAGTATTCAAATATATGAGCCTATAAGGGCCATTCTTATTCAAACCACACCAAGAAGCAGTAAGAAGTTGTTTCTTTGGCTGGTTTTTAAGACAGTTCCACTGTGCAACACAGGCTGATCTCAAACTCCTGAGCCTCCAGCCTCAGCTTCCTGAGTGCAGGGGTGCTGGGTTTACAAGCAAGCACTGCAAGGAAGTACCTTTGTGACTTTAATATCTAGACACTGTCTAGGATAGTGGCTCTCAACCTTGCTAATGCTGTGACCCTTTAATACAGTTCCTCATGTTGTGGTGACCCCCCAACCATAAAATCATCTTCATTGCTACTTCATAACTAATTTTGCTACTGTTACGAATCATAATGTATTTATCCATGGTTTTCAGGGACGCCCTATAAAAGGGTCCTCCCATCCCACTGGGTCTCGACCCACATGTTGAGAACCACTGCTCTTGAAGAAAACACCAAAAAACTTGCAGGGTCCAGAAGACTCTCCAGATTCTAGTTCTTGCCTCCCTGTCTTGGCTTAACCCATGAATGTCACACCTCCCACATGATGCTTGCAGTAAGGATCATAGTATGGAATGCAATGCTGTGCCTGTGTGGCTTACCTTCCTGGATGCTCTGCCGCTTCCTTTGTCCCCTTCCTGGACACCCATCTTCTCGTGGCACCCACTCCTTGACAATTCTTCTAGGAAGTTACAACCTTCAAGAAACTTCTGAGGTAGGCTTGGCACTCCTTCCCTGAATCCCCATTACACACCCCTTCCCTTACAGGCAATATTGAGAACGACTCTTTACAGCTTTCTGTCCACCTTAGATTATATGTGTCTCATGAGAGGCATTATATTTTTATTCATTCCTGTATCCGTGAGCCTAATCCAGGAGAGATGCTCAACAGATGACTCTGAACTAATCAATCATGTCATAAATTAGTGATTCCATTTTGCACCATAAATTTTTGCCACTATGCTGGTAAATGTGAGTTTTACTTAAAATGGATAAAATTAAATGCTTTTGGATAGAGAAGAAATCCCTCATTTCAAGCCCATGTTCTATCATCCTGTGGGTTGTAACCTACTATGGTCCATAAAATTAATTCCTGGGTCACAGCTGCCATTATCTTAATGAAAAATATCAGAAGCAAAGAGAATGGGATGACTCTTATATCATTCTTCACTTCTGTTTCTAGTATTCTCTGTTATTTTCATTGCTCTACCTTCTGCACCCGGGTGGGGAGAAGTACTGGTAAACAATAATAATAGGTAATAATAAAACAAAACCCCGAGGGGATGAAGCTCCTGCTCTGATTTTTTTCTTTCATGGAAAGCAACAGAGCTCTCCAGGCAGGCCTTGGTCTCATTCCCTGAAAACTGGGGTAATAAGAATCCAAGTTAGGGCTGGGTAGGTAGCTAAGTCAATGGAGGCCAGTTATGAGGACCAGAGTTCAATCTCTAGCAGCCAAATCTAAAAAAAAAAAAAAAAAAAAAAAAAAAAAAAAAAAAAGGGGGGGAGGGGGGAGGGGGGGGGGGGGGGGGAGGGAAGAGAAAAAAAAAAAAAAAAAAAAAAAAAAAAACAACGTTTTAGTGGCATGTGCTCTTAATCCCAGCGCTTGGAAGACAGAGACAGGCAGAAGTCCCTGGGGCTCCTTGGGCGGCTAATCATCAAAGTTCTGGCAAAAAAAAAAAAAAAAAAGAAGAAGAACCTAGGTGAACATCTCCCGAGAAAAGATTCTGGAAGGTAACTCTGGTGTGTGCTCACTCGTGCATGTACACACACACACACACACACACACACACACACACACACACACACAGGAACAAAGGATGAATGCTGCTTACTGGTTTACTCCTCATAGCTCATTCAGCCTGCTCTCTTATATAACTCAGGACCCCCTGCCCAAGAGTGGGACCACCCACAATGGGCTGGGCCTTCCCACATCAATCGCTAAGAAAATGCCTCACAGGCTTGCCTACAGGCCAATTTGGTGGGGACATGTTTTCAGCTGAGGTTCCCTCTTCCCACCTCATTCTAGCCTGTGTCCGTTGACATAAAAACCAGCCGCCACACTGGCCCCTCCATTACAGCACTGGCCTCAGCCCCGAGTCTGCCCGCTGCTCCTGTTTCTCCCACTCCTCAAGCGCAGGGGCTGTACCTTTCACCCCACGTCACCACGTCACCACCATCCAGCACAGCAGCTCCCTCGGTGGCCCCGACAGAAAAAGAGGGAGGGAGGCAGACATTGAGTGAAAATTCTTCATCTAACAGATGCCCACATTTCCAAGGTCAGAAGGCAACTCGGAGCCTTAGAACTTGGAACCATTTTCTAAATGCCAGGCCCCTGTGGGCACAGTCTTGGAAGAGAAGGGAGCTCCAGAATGAAGGGGTTCAGAGAGCACTAGGGCAGGCTGTATGCCAGGAGCACAGTCCCACAGACTGCACAGCAGGAGGAGACTTCTGGGGAAGAATGTAGGTTTGTACAAAGCCAGTCCACTCAACACTGAGAGACCCCTGAGGAGCCAGGAGCCTGAATCTCTCTGTGGCCTAAACATACTTAAGGTGGGGCAGGAATAAGACTATTCTCCCTACTACAGTGAGGGGTGTGTGTGTGTGTGTGTGTGTGTGTGTGTGTGTGTGTGTGTGTGCATGCACATGCACTTAAGTGCATGAAGGTACATGTAAACTGTGTGCCTACATGTAGAGTCCAGAGGTCAATGTCAGATGGCCTCCATGGCTCTCTGACTTACCTTTTGAGACAGGGTCTGTTACTGAACCCAGAGCTCATCGATTTGGCTAGGCTGGCTGGTCAATGAGCTCTACCCTCCCCCTGCACTGGCATTACAGATGTGTGCCATCTCCAGCCTTTTACATGGTCCTGGGGATCTGAATTCAGGTTCTCAATCTTGTACAGCAAACACTTTATAGACTGAACCAGTCATCTCTCTAACACCCAACTTTCGATTTTCACCACTCAGTTTCACCCACAAACAGCATGGATGCTGGAACACAGCCCTGGCAACCAAAGTGATGTCTCCAGAGCCACCTGTATGAGAGTGCAGAGCCTTGCCAAGACAGCAGTTGATGCTGACTAGTCGGGACCAGGTGCACAGCTGGATATTTCATGCACCCCATTTCATTTGATTGACATACCAACCTGAGAAGACAGTGGTCTTGATTTTACAGTTGAGAAAAGTTAACGACCATAGAGGCGGAGGGACTTGTCCCAGCTCACACAGTAAAGGACGAAGCACAAATTCAAACCTAACTCTGATTTCAAGTCGCTTCCCCTTTTCATGCTGGATCCCTGGGGAAGGGAGGGAGGTGTCTCTTCATTAGGGTTTGAGTCCAGTGGTCCTACTTCAGGATGAGAGAGGGTCACACCATGCAGGATGGCTCGCTCCATCACCATTTCTAGAGACACTGCTAAGCTAGGAGCTTGAGATGCCTTCTGTTACCTGGCAAACCACACCCAGCAGAGACATTCCTGAGATGGGGCTTATCATCCATCCCTCCCAAAGGAAGCACTGGCTCCAGCCAGATCCCCAAGAGGAGTGCTTCCACCTTGCCTGTTGGCTCCTAGCACCAGCAGTGTACACACACTTCTCACTCCCAAAGCACTAGAAGGAAATCTGCCCTGTGCAGAAACACCTCCCCTCGCCAACACACACACACACACACACACACACACACACATCCTCTCCTCCCACAGCCCCAGACACTCCTCGGGTCCTGAGCAACCTGTCCTCCTGACAGGGGCATACCATGATGGATGACAGGCCACGTGGATGTCCCTTTGGAGAAGTCTGAGCACCCCACCGCATCCTCCACCCATGGTAGATGGTGACTGAGATCCCCATTTAGACTTGCTTCTCTCTGGCTTAGGTTCCTCGTTCAAGTGCCCGGGACATTTACCACAGGAGCAGCCAATGCAACCTCGGCCCATCCAATGAGGCAACTGGGTCTTAAAGGGGAAGAAGCAAGACTGTGGAGAACTATTAGTGGAGGCCTCAAGCGGAAAAGGCAGAGTGGGTTATTTTGGACGTTTCCCAGTCACCCCTTCCAGCAGGGTAGGAGTTAATGACATAACACGCTTTCAGAGTTGATGGGAGAAGAGAGCCGGCAAGCTGCCCCTGGAATCCACCCTGCAGTCCAAAATGGGTAGTTCTGGTAGCCTTGGTACACACTGTGCTGGTCAGAGCTGCCTTCCCTCCAGGAGAGCATGAAATATCTAATCACAGACAAACAAGATCCTGGACTAAAGACTGAGTTCCCGGTACCCCGATACCCAGCTAAAGTGTCTGCTGACTTGAGTTAGGGCAGAGAAAATAAAACGGGGACAGAGGCAGCTCTAACAATGTTGCAGCTAGGACCTGGGCAGCAGCAAGCCAGTCCCAGCTTCTAAGAGTGAGGTGGGTTCTGCACATGTGGAAAGAACATTCTTTGGGCTCCCCTACATGTGTGGGATGGAAATTGTGCAGTCTGGAACGTGCGACCTTGAGCTGGGTCCCACTGAGTTCTCAGGTCAGAAAAGGGCCTGTTATCAGTAGGTAGTGGTGTTGGATGCTGGTGATCCCAGTATTTGGAATCTGAGGCAGAAGGATCAAATTCAAGGCTGCAATTTCAAAAAACAAACAATAAAAAAAAAATTGCCTCTCATTTTTCAAATTTGCAAAACAGACTCCAGAAAATAAAGGAGCACAGAGATGTCACGGCTGAAAGAGAAGCCACTTTTATTATAGTATCATCACCTGTGCCTGACTCTTCTTAAGTATGTGTGCACACACGTGCACACGCGCACGCGCGCGTACACATGTACACACAGGCACAGCACCTTCAAGATTCCCAGACTCCCTCCTTCTGTCCTCAGTTCCCACACATTCTGCCATATGCCCCACATATACGCTTGACTCAATAACTCCACGCTTGAGGAAAACAGAACAAATTTACTATTCACCTAGTGGTCGTAGAGTAGAATTGCAGGCACAGTGGTTAAAAAGGAAGCAATCGGACTTTGTCTTCCTCGGCTTCTAACACACACAGGGGAAAGGGGAAGACACATGGGGGCTCGGGGCTCGGGTGCTTCAGGGACCAAGGACTGAACACAAGCCAGCAAGGGGAGTTCAAGGATTCCCCAAAGAGGCGATCCCCCGCTTCATTTTGATTGTTCTCTACAGCGCAGATGCGGGTTGCCACACCTTGATTTTCAGAAGCCAGAAATCCTAATGCAGTGTGAAGCCTCTTGATTCTTAGAGGGCAACTCAATTTTCTTGGAAACATTAAATGAACTAAATCTAGCAGTAAGCCCTGCAGCTTTCTGCGTTCTGCTGAAGAGGTACACGGCAGCCCCCCTAACTGTGGTATTACACTGCCACTCTCCAGCCACCGTTTGCCATTGCAGCGGAGGCATCCGGGATGAGGCTCTCGGCTTTCCTCGGCACCCGGGGCTGGATGCCAGAGCTCCAGAGAACACCTAAATCTACAGGAAGTGGAAGGCTCAGCTGAGCCACGTGGGGCCAGAGACTGGAGCCTTGCAGATTAAATGGCCGACTGCTCCTGCAGGAAGCCCTCGGGATTGGGAAGGCTTTTTTCCGGCTCAGAAGCCAGGGCTGCCTCTCGGAGGACTTCCAGGTGCTCCTCGGCAGCAGACAGTGACTGGTCGATCCAGTCCAGGCCCCCGGTTAGGTGGCAGGCATTCCTGGTTACTAGCACCAAGTGACTGACGGATAGGAGCAGGGCAGTTGTCCTGGGTTAAAAAAAAAAAATAAAAATAAAAATAAAAAGGAAGAAAGAAAGAACAGAAAAGATCAGGCTCTGTAGAAAGTGGGGAACTTTGCATAAAAACCCAAACGGGTGCACACTCTAGATTAGTGTTCCGCAAATTGGAGACCCTCTCCTTATGTAACACAATGGGTCCACGCTGAAATACATAGGGGGCGGCTGGCTTAAACAAGGTTAACTGTCTTGGAGCCTTGGAGGAGCTTGACAAAACTCCAACGGGAAACTGAAGAGCTGCGTCTGGTAGACATATTTAAGACGGTGGAACAGGCTTTCAACAACACAGCCATAAACAGCTCCCAGAAGGGTGTTTTATGAAACAGTTTGGATGTGGTCAATTGGATGAGCAGATCTCCAACTGCTGCTCACTTAAAGATGGGCTATATATATCCCTCTTCAGTGAACATCTCTTATTGATCACAAATCAATAAGCCCAGGGCTGGCTTACTCAATGATAAAGAAAATGTAATTGAAAATCAAATTGAGGAGGAAGGTTTTGTTTGTTGTTGTTATTTCTGTGTTTTTTTTTTTAATTGAAAAACTCACTATGAAATAATTTCTATATGGTGAGAGTGCCAGGTGTGTTCAGGGCTCCATTATCGATTACTAGCTCATGGAGAAAGCTGAGCGGCGATGGGAATGGGGCAGAGAAGCCAAAGCAGGCACGCGTCATGACTTACTAGCCACCTGGCAACCATCACATAACACATCCATGGGAGTCTCACAAATCAAATGCAGACAACATTTAGGTATTCGATGGGTTTACATTCCGTAGGGCTGAGCGCACTCTGTGGGGCGGAGGAGGGTCCAGAGAAGAGGCTCCGGAGATGCCTGATGGGGAGTGAGTTCCACCTGTGGCTGACCTGTTACATGTTCTTGTTGCTGGGCTCCCCACAGCCCTGCTGGGCGGTGCTTCCAGCAAGGTGTGGCCGGTTTTGAGTCCAAAGATCAGAGGGAGGAATGGGGAGCGAAGGGCAGGGAGGCCAAGTTAGCATAACCAGTTAAGCATGCACATCCAAGCCTGATATGATACACGGTTTGCTCCCTCCTCTCAGGGGCTCAGGAAGAAGTCTGGGCTTTATCACCTGCCAGGCTAAACTCACGGGTTGCCTCAGTGTTGACGTGGAAGGGGATGAACCCAGAGCCAGGGGTGGCCTTGGAACTCTGGAAAACCATCCTCTTTGAACAAGCCAGGCAGCCAGCCTGGCAGGCTTGATAATAGCGACCCTGAGGGGTGATAAAGAAGAGTGATCCCTCCTCCCCTCTCACCGCGCATCCAGGAGCTTGGGGTCCAGCGGAGGGTACATTGACTTCACGACATCGTCCACTCTGAGGGGAGGCAATAGGGACGACTGTCAGTGTGTCACCTTCCTGTCCCCTTCTCTCCCTCCTTCCTGCCCATCCTCACGCTAGACTTCTCTGTTGGTATGACACACCCACCCTTCAGGGGTCCTTTCTCTAGCTGTTTCTGCATACCCAGAGTCTAACAGAAAGACTCCGGGTTCTGCTTGGAAAATACTCTGCTCTCCGTTTTTTGCTTTCATTCCGGTGGTTAAAATGTGTGAGGTCATACATATAGAGTGATGTTCAGGATTACTGCTACATTTAAAAGGTAATCGCCAAGCATGAGCTGGCTGTATCCTTCTGCATGTATAAATATAAACAATAAACCAAAGCTATACAATGAGAGAGGGAAAGTCTAGAGGGATGTTCACCATTTAATGGTGGCTACATCCCCAAATTGGGAAGGATGGAATCAGGGAGCATTCCCCTTGTCAGATGATCGATTCCTGCAGTAGGTTAATTTTTATAAGCATTTTTTTACTTTTGTATTTTTTTAAAGATGCTAATACAGTGACATAGAACACTTTTAAAAAATAGTCATAGCTTAATTTGGGTTCACACTACTCCATTGTGTCTTTTCCATGCTTACATAGTCTGGAACTAATATTTTAAGTTTCCACCTGCTCTGATTTGTGGGATGCAAGATTTTACTCCCATGGATTACTTGGTAAAATAAAAATGATAATAATAAAAAAAAAAGAATGAAAGCTGTATTGCTTGATTTCTAAAAGCCCTCGTTCTCACTCAGGCCTGAGGAGCTGACAAGCTGGTGCACAGGCATGGTGGTCCTCAGCATCCTTGAACTAATAAATCATCATCATCATGGCAGAGGCAGAAAATAAGACAAGGACATGGGGACAAATATCAGCCGGAGGGAGGGAGGGAGAACCCTTGAAGGCAGCTGACTGGCAAAAGACCAGGAAGGAGGTTGTCCCAGGTGCTCAGCAGGGAACTCTACCTTCCCGGCCATGCCATACGCTCACCTCGGCACACTGTTAACCATGTCCCCTCTCAGAGATCTCAGCACTCTGACACCCTCTTCATAACCTGTGCAGGCCCTGTGAATGGGTCTCAGAAGGGATAAAAAGCACAAGGAAGGATCTAGCAGATGTGAGCACCACACACCTTAAAAATGGTGGGAGAGCGGGCCGCAAGGCCTGGCACAAGCTGGCGGCTGGGTGGGGTGGGGGTGTCTCACGCAGGAGGCATCTTCCAAGCCGGAAGCCATTCTGGTTTGCATCCTCCTCACTGTCTCACCTCACTGAACTACCTAGACAGAGTCCAAGCACACCAAGTCTTGTTTTTCTCAGAGGATCTTACAGGCTGCTCCTCCTGAGCTTTACCAGCCAGCTCACTCAGACAGAAACGGCCGGTTGTTTGTGATTTAATCCAGGCACCAGGAATGCACAGTGGAGGCCGTTCAAGGCACAGGGGTCAGGTGACTGATAAGAACACTTTCCTGGAGCGGGTCATTTGACAGCAAATCCCCATACCAGTCACTAGGTGGCAGCACACATTTAGCACAGCCTTTTGCGCGGAGAAAAGGGCCTTATTTTTCTTTGCAAAATCCAGTCCAGCTGAGGGGGTGTAGTTGTTGACTGGGGCTCTGCTGGGTACCTCCCACAAGGGATTTTGCAGACAGCCTGGAATTCGGGAGTTCGGAATGCTCTGTGGCTTCACCTCCCACCCAGGGCTAGGCTGAGGACCAAGCAGCATGTGAGAGCCACCGTGAAAGGAAGGTAGCCCTCAAACCAGTTCCCAGTATAGCTAACAGGCTGGACCTAATGGCGTAGCTGGGAAGTCACTGGAGATAGTGGCATAGGAGCCGGCGGGAAACATGCCTGCTGACTGCCGCAGTGTAGCGAGGGAAGGAAGGCCGACCAGGTGAGAACCGGAGTGGTCACTACAGAGCTGCAGACTGTCAGCACAGTTAAAGGGCTTGTGCTGGTAATGGGGATGGCAGGTGACCACCTCCGCTTAGGAATGCCCATACTGAGCTGCTCTGTATACACTGGGCAGTCTGATAACTGAGACCGCAGGCAGATGGACCTACTGTTTTAGAGCATTGCTTAGCCTTGCTGGCTATCACAGCACACACACACACACACACACACACACACACACACACACACACACCCGTGGAGTGTGGGACTTCACAACCACTGACCACTCACCTGGGGCTAATCCGCTTGGCCACCACAATGATGTCGCTGACACTTGCTGAAGTCTTCATCTTGGCCCCAGAACCCATTGTCATGGCAACAAGTTTTTCTGTCAGAGTGTGACAAATCTAATGTAACAAGGAGGAAAGAGGTGATGAGGGGTGACATGGCTCCCCACTCCACACGAAGGGTTCTACCACCCTGACGAAGACAAATCTAGCCCCACCTTGGGCACGGGCACTAATCTGGCTCCTACCCTAATGATGAGAGGAAATGGGGTGGAAAGAGACAAAAGCCCGGGTGATAGTTGGGGTGGAGGGGGGAGCACTCAGATCAAGGGCAGAACTTCAGCTCAATGAGGACTAAGCTGGAATAATCCGTCTAAGAAAAATCATGCGCTCTAATTTCACCATCCTGGTAGGGAGTGCTTTCTCTCACCTCCCCTCACGGTTTAGACTTCCAAATGGATAATATCTCCAGTGGGGTGCCCGCAGAAATGGGGCTAAACAAAGGGCAACTGTTCTCTTTAGGCACGTTCTCCAACAATGATACCTCCTTTGTTGGCAGTTTTTGAGAGTTGTGTATTATTAGTATGTTTGTCCAGGTGATAATGAAAGGGCCCCGGAAACTGCAGGGCAGAGGCAAAAATGACAGCACGTGGGCTTCTTCCTCTTGCGCCACCTCCAAGGCTTACTGCCTCTTTCTGTATTCCCCCATGTGAAAACCAAGCATGCCTCTGCCCCTGCAAAGAAGCCCCACTACCTGCTGTTACTAGAAAACAAAAGCAGGAAGAAGCCCAGGAGGCCACTGGGAAGGAAGGACTCACACTCTCCTTCATGCTCCAGGGAGATGATGGAGTAAAAGCATTCTGGGGTCTCAAGATGAACCTCAGAAGCCCTTTTTTTAAATCCAAGTTCCCCAGTCCCAGAAGTGGGGCCTTCCCCCTTGGATGGAGATGGACAGGAGGAAAAAAAAAGAAATAGGCCCAGGACACATCATGTCTGGGCAAAGGGAAATGTAATACCGTTTATTGCTCCAGTCAGTGTACCTAGCTATCTGTGTCCACAATGATATCTGTATGTGCAGCCATATTTATACATCCAAGGAGCTTCCGGACTCTGAGGCAACAATTTCCTACAGAGGTAGCCAAGGAAGAGGCAGATAAAGGGCTTTTTAATATCCTGTACTGAGGGACCCTAGAGAAAAGACAGAGTTGTCTCTTTTGAAATCTTGAATAATTAGTAGACAAAGATATAAGGTTACTGGCGTGCAGAAACCCATATTAGCATTTTGTTCAATATTTGCATGTTATTATTATTCTATTAGGAAGGATGATATCAGGCAAGAGTTGAGAAATGAATGCTGAAACTATGAAAATGGCTAAAGTGTAATTTGAATGTAATTTTCCAAAGGTCTCAGGCCTTCAAAGACCAAAGTCTGCCTCCGAGTGGAAGAGCCTGTAGTTTGGGTTTTTGTTTTTTTAACTCTTGATTATCTCATTTGTCTGACTGTTGTCACCAAAGGAGCCAGGGAAGACTTTCTAGTAACTGAAACCCAGATACAGAACGCATTCCACGGACTGAGCTCAGTATTAATAAACAAAGGATCCCAGGGAGGCCAGAGCCTCATTTGCTTCAGCGGCTCCATGGCCTCAGACACCCAGCTTTCCCATGGTTGGTAAAATTATTACTGGAGACCCTCAAGCTGTCCTTTCCACAGGCCACTGTGTTAAGAGGACCAAATAAGCTAAAGCCTAAAGAGGAGTTTTAGAACGCAAAAGTAAAACAGACCCAATAGGGAGAGATGGGAGCGGACTGTAGAAATACAGCCGGGGCTAACACGGGCTGCTCGCAAGGTCAATTCCATGCACACCTGGGGCGCTCCAACCACCGCCCTCGGCCTCACAGGGAAATCAGAGTATTACCTTCAAGATGGCGATGCAGTGGGACAGGAGGCCCCTGAGGAGACGAGAGGAAAGTGTCAGTGCTGCTCTAAGGAGCCCAACTCCTTCTAGCGACCCCACCCAGAACCAGGTGAGCACAGAAGGCACCACCTCAAGCACAGCCCCCACCCCACCCCCGTGCTATGGCGTACACAGCCACCCACTCCTCCAGCCAGCTCTGTCCCCACCTGCCAAGTTCAACATTTTATATCTCTGTGTATCCAACATGCCCTTTCCCCTAGATTCAGCCTGGTGAGTTCCTCTTTCAGTAAACCCAAGTCAGAAAGCATCCATTCAGGGGAGGGGCTTATGAGGCCTCACCATCCATAAGGGCTCATAGGCAGTTAATGGTTGTTGGGTAAAGGAAAAGGAGAGAGATTCTCTTTAGTTAGTGGTATAGCCACTTTGGGATGGTGTGGCCATGCTCCTACAAATAATTCCTGTAAGCAACCCTAGTTAAACTAAATGGGACACACACACATACACACACACACACACACACACACGCACGCACGCACGCACGCACGCACGCGCACACACACACAAGCCAAAAGACATGAAAGAAGAAGGGATAATGGGGGCTACTTAGGAAGAGAAGGGTGTCACAGAGGTAGGAGGGGAACAAGAGATGGTAATGGGGTGAGTGTGATTAAAATACATTGTATACATGTATGAAAATGTCAATGCAAAGCACATTAAGTACAATCTAAAATGTTTTTAAAAGGCACCCCTCTGGGACATGCTTCATCAAAGCTACCTTATCTTCTTACCCCAGGCAGACCTGGACACTGCTCACTCCCTATGACACTTCTCATGCACCAAGATCCCCTAGACTCTCGGTGACACTGGCTTTGGTACCGTTCTAGCTCCCTGTCATTCTGACATCCATGGGGCCTGGCTGGTCTCATACCCTCTATATCGTGCCCCATAAGTGTATGTCAATAAACAAAAAGATAAAGAAATAATGAAAGGAAGTGGCACACACCTCTCAAAGTGCAGTCCTCTGTGGGACACTGAAAACAAAGGCCGCCTGGAGCTGACTCAAAATCCCTGGACAGTCCAAGCATGACCCAACCCCACTGGGGGACTTTATAATGATGGCTGCCACACATTTAGCTACCTGGGTACTCAAGTCTGCAAAGTAAGAGGCATGGGACAAGAACAAACACTGTCACGCCCTATGCTGACGTCCCTCACAAGGAGGATGGGGAAGAGCTCTGGCATGTTTCGGTAAAGGAACCCAAAAGTCCCTTTGTCACCCTATAGGGCTAGAAAGCCCAAGTTCCCTGAGGCCTTACGAGGCATCCTCAATCCAGTCTTCATTCTCCAGAATGGCCTCGATGTGGGGGTTGGTGATGACCACATCATCCAGCTCTAACTCGGAGGGCTCAGACTGGGTCTCCATCGCACCGATGAGGTCCACAATGGGCCTAGAAGGAATGGTCTCTGTTAGAGTTTCATGACAAGTGACTGTGGCTGACACTTTTCATCACAGCCACTGCTATAGTTTAGAAGTTGAATGCCCACCACT